GCTTCTTGTGGAAACGAGACGTGAAGCTTTTTCCTATTTAAGGCTCGGCTTGCCATAGTGTCTAAAGAAATCCCGCTGCCGGTAATGGTTGCTATGGTAGGTGTTAATATATTTAAATTCTGCAATAGCAGAATTCTCTCAGAATTTCCAGTTATTAATCTCAGTCCCTCCTGCGTGTGTTCACTTTCGGTACGTTTTGCTCTCCTTCCGTGGCCTCGCTTTCTCCGTGCAACACACCGCAGAACACCAGCAAAGTGAACTTAGCTTTTTGTTTATGAAGAATAGCTTTTGTGACCTGGGTGAACTCCTCCTCCTTCAGGTTTAAAATACCCAAACGCCTTCAGTAATGGCATGTGGAGACACATCTGCTCGGGCAGGCAGTTTGCGACCACTTCCCCCTGCTTGCAAATCTGTGTGTTTTATACGGGGAGCGGACGTTTGGGGTTTCTTTTCCAGTTTCTGGTGCTGACCCGGGCCTAGCTTAGCCTCTCTTCTCTCTGCACAGGATGGCTCCTGCTTGCCAGAGCCGCACAAAGATAATCGCTCAGGAAGTGTTTCAGCCAATCCCCTGAAGCTTTACATTCAGATTTACCAAAGTAGCCAATCCGGGATTAGCTTTCATTAGGAAGACAGATCATCAAGCTGAAGTGCCAAGCCCTTTCTGCCTGAGTACTGAGAGCCTGTCCTCCATGTTTTATAAGTATTGACATAACACTGTGTTAACAATGCATCCACAGAGGTAAGCCTTACTTTTTACATTTTTTTTTCTCTAAGACCTATGAGTTGTGGGTTGAGAGCGTGATTCTCTGTGATTTGTTGTGCAAAACTCACACCACAGCACTTTATTAAGTTGGAACTGTTTAAATTTGCTTTCTTGGGTCACATGGTTAGTAGCCATTAGCCACAGCTTTATTTTGCAGACTGGCAAAACCTTGGCATACCTACTTCTTCACAGGAGGATGGTGTTTTTAGAGTTTATCAAGATCCTGGTATTCCAAAGAAGCTTTCTCTCTCTGAGCAGTTTGCCAGCACTATTGTCTGTTGTGTCACATGCCTGCTGAAGAGAAAATGGAAGCTAGGGAGCAGATGCATTTAACTGCCCTACAGGGAGTCAAGCAGGGATAATGGCAGACAGAAGAACAGGCAAGTTTACCTTTCTAAACAGTGAATGGAACAGCTAAGATAAGTTATCTCTGAGAAAATATGGGATTTTTAAAAACCTAGACATCAGCAAAAAGTGCTAATGGCAGATTGTAGATATTGGGCCTAGGTGGTGGTGTGCTGTTGCATCATGTTTTTTATGCAGCTTATCTTAACTTAAAATGATTATTGAACCTTTTTTCTTGCAGGAGTAATTAATACAACGTGTTTCTCTTTCTGAGGGACAATGTATGGTTAATATTTTGTTCCTTTAAAAGGGAGTTTTTATGCTGCAGATTTTGGAAAGGGGTTGCTGCTCAATAAAATGCAGCAGTACATCTGTTTACAGATCTGATTCTATATGGAAAATGTTTTTGAACTGTTAGCTTTCTTGTTTTACATAGTTCAAATAAACTAATGTACCTTTTATCTGTGCCTTTTTGTTTTACCCTGTATCAGCCACAGTTCTGTGTTGTGGAGTCCAGAGGATATAAAATCATGTGTGGTTCATGACAGGAGTACATGTTGTTCGTTCTTGGTTTTTCCCCCCCCTCCTTTTTTTTTTTTAACTTTTGGTTTAATGCTACGTAATTATTTCAAGAAATTCCTTTTTGATCAATTCCCAAATGTGCCAGCCTGTTGTATCTTCTTAACTGGAAAAATGAGATGGGTGCTTGAACAGTTGGTAAGTAAGCAGCATGCTACTCTCTGAACATTTTTAATAGTTTTCCAAACATTTTGCTTTTACTGGGTCAGTTAGTCCAGTAGATGAAGTAGTGTTAGTGGTTAGTCATATAAAAAATCAGATTTGCTTAGCGTCCATTTTAAGGGACTTGTACTTGTAAACTGTTCCAATCTGAATGCACTGGTTTTTTGATAATTTGCCTCTAAAGTTTGAAGCTTATACTTCCTGTTTACCTCAGGCCAGTGAAAAATATTCTACTTGCTGTTTGTTCATAGATCATTAATTACCATGTTTGTGGGGTAAAGCGCATTTTTGTTGTTCCTTAGGCTTTTGAGGTGTGATGAAAGTGCTAGTACTCAGCAATGGAGTGACCTTATGAAGTAAAGTAAATAATGCTTAATGAGCATATGTTTCTGATACTATGCAAAGTATAATCTCAGACAAACTTGCGTGATTTATAACTAATTTAGAACATTTTATGCCCTTTATTAAGATTTTGATTGTGGCGCTTGCATGCTTGTTTTAACAAGCTGTTTTTCAGTGATCACCAGTATTGTTACAAAAGCAGAGGAAGGATGCTCTTTTGTGCTTTTAATATATTTTTTGCACTTGTTTTAACAGTCCACACACATTCATGATTTTAGGAAAGAACTTAGAGCTAAGCTAGCTTTGCAAATGACTGCACCGAGATACAGTTACATGCTAACTTTTGTAGAAGGTTGCCATGTATTTGACAACATTCTGTAACGTAGCAATTTACCTCTGGTTACTTGTTTGCCGGTATGAGGATCTTACTTTGAATATCTCACTTTGCTTAACAGCCCCCCCCCACCCCCACCCCATTTGCAACCTGAAACACTGCTGGGTTGTACCACCGAGTTTCATGTGATAGCGTTTTTGTATGCAATTTTAATGCATTTTTCAGCATACATAAAAGTGCTAACACAGCTAAGAAGTTATTCTGGTTTTTGTTCTTCGGTTGCTAAAAACAGAAATTGCATTTGGACATAATTTTCCTAGCAGTAGTTTATACACATTAGCAGTTTACTTTCAGTCTTAAATAGTGCACAACATAATATTTGTTTAATATGAGGAAGCAGGAGTAAGTGATCTGCAATCAGAAAGCTTGTATTAAAATGGCTCCCACAGGTTTTGTTAAACTAGGATCTGTTTCAAATCTGCACCTCCAGACACACTGCTGACAGTGAAGCATATTTGTATAAGCTGCCCTTGTGCATGTAATGAAACATAGCATCGTGAGTCTGTTAAAGTTCACTATTTTTAATCACTCAAATATAATTCTTTTATAGTTCACAAAAAATAAATGTCTGCATTGCAGCAAGATGTCTGAGGCAAGGTAGAGACAGCAGTGTTGTTTTACAGATCAGCCCAATCGCGCTGCGCCATGGAGCACTTGAACCAATAGAAGCAGAGGGTAGGTTAAAGATTGACAATTGCAGTGGCAAGACTGAGAAAGGCCTTCTGGAAATTTCTACCATCTTTGTTCCATCTAAGTAAAGCAAATTCAGCCAAGCTGAAGAATTTCATATATTTTTGGTGCTTTGTCAAGGTATGATGTTATCACTCACTTTCATAGATTGCATAATAAGAAGCACTCTGTGCCGTTTTTTCTGCTGTTCAGGACAGATGGAATGTGGGGTTTTGTTTAAGTGATAGACGCTGGGAAAAAGCATGTATTCTTTCTACCCAAGATTTTACAGGACTGGATCTTGTTAATATCGCAGTTAGACAGGACATGTATGAAGCAATGTAGCTGAGGTTTATTCAGCTTGTAGCAAATGGCCATTATTCTAATGTAACTAGCAGTTAATCATATAATTGCACTTTAAGTTTTCTGGCTACTAAAGAGTAATTTGAATTGCCCAGGATGAATATGATTAGCCATTATTATTTAGTGCCAACATCCAGTTACTTTTGTAATTAGCTGGACAAAGAATGCAGTGGGGGAAAAACAAAGGAGTGATCGGGATTATAAATTATGATGAAAACAGTAGCTTTTTAAAAGCTACATGCCCCTCTCATTCTTTGCAGGCAAACTGTTTTAGTTGGAAGCTAAATAGTGCTAGCAAAAAACTAAGTGATTTCTTTAAACAAATGACACTACTTAACATACTGAGAATGAAAAAAATGCAGAGTATAAACCACTCCAAATGTGACATTGCCCCCCCCTCACATCAGGCAGGAGTATTAAAATGTAGGGGGAAACCTACATTGCTACTAAGGAAGCATGTAATAAAAGGACCTTCATGCTCAAAAATCGTAAATAGGTGGATTACATTACAAATTTAGCCCTTTATATCAGTGTCCACAGACTTTGATTAGCTCATCTTCCTGAGCTGTCTGCCATTTTGTGATATCACTTTTGCTTGGGTTTTTGCTTGTTTTTTCCTTTTTTTTTTTTCCCCTTTTTGCTTTGTTTTCAGTTGTATTGGCCATGTGGATCCAGTAGGTGAAAAGTGATAGGTCATGATCAGTTTTCCATAGTAATGGTGCCACTCCAGCATAATTGGTTAAAGGGTGATAAATCTCAGTAAAAGCTCTCCTCTTCTCTGTCTGGAATTCAGGGTATTAATTTGAATCTCTTAAATATCTTGAAGTTGAACATAACCTTTGCCCATGTAGAACGTAATAGACAGCAATTTTCAGGTTTTGTTATTTGTGGATCCCTAATATTTTTCCCATGGGCACATGAATCCCATTAGAGTGAATTTAAGCCTGTTAGACTAGATTTCATTTACTTATCGTCTGCAAACCCCTCAGTAGTAGTACCTTGGCTTTGAGGGGTCTGCAAACCAGCTACTGACAACCGTTGTCCTAGGCCATCAAGCTTGGCCCTTTAAATTGTATTTAGAAAGTATTTTAAATACATTTATTAATAAACATGTCTTGTATTCATTGGTTAAAGTCTAATTTAGAAATAGCTACATAGGAACTGAGTTTTATTTATTTGATAGAAGTTGTCTGTCATTCGTACATTAACCCTTTATTGCCAGCTGTCATAGCATCTGTGTTTCATACTGTGATTAAAACTATGCTGTAGCAGGATGTTAAGCCAGTATAAACCTTTACTTTCAAAGATGATTGTTCTCAAATTGTGTTTTTAGCATCTGAAATCTATAGCTATTCTGGTTGCCTTGCTTGGGCCTCAGCTCTATAGTTTATAGTCTTAAAGAAGACGGTATGACACCAAGGATCTCCCTCCCTCCCCTAATTTTCTCTTTTCTGGAGCTATTTTGAATGCACACTGAATAAGAATAAGGTTTTAAAAAGAACCTATATGTTCCTTAAATTAGATATACATATGTTTACTTTGCTTGTTATCAGAGGTAACTAGCTTAAACATTGCTGTATATAGATATCTGAACAAGCATTTTGTGTATGTTAATTGCTTAATACAAACTGAGCATTTTGCAGGGAATTCTGCAAAAGGAAACATAAAATATGAGGCGCTCAAACTGGAGAGTGAATCTAAAATTGAGTGATTTCCTTAGTAACCTGTGACTTCACAAAACTCCCTATCTTGTGCCTTTTTAGTTAAACATTTGGATGTCAGGTGTCCTTTTGTCATACTTTACCATTTCTGATATTTAGATGCTTGCTTTGAATATAGGACTGCTGTTTAAACAAGAGATACTGTTATTGAATAAACTGCTACCATTTTAGCTACAGTACAGGAATGAGGCAGTGCAGTGCTGTCAGACGCCATTTTAAGAATCCTGCATAAATAGCATAGCTACCGATGAGTAAGAGACTGTTATAGGTGAGTGCTTATACAAAGCTGCTATTTATTCAGCAATGGCATGCAAATATTTTTTTCAAATTTTTATTGAATGCAGTTTTTTGAAATCATTATTTAGAATTGCTACTCACAAATGTGATATAGGAGAGGCAGGAATTATCTTAAGGATGAAATTCAGTTTTAGTGCTTATAGTCTTAAATCAGTTTTTTGTTTTGTTTTCTATTGATTAAAAGGAAAAATGAATTCCATAAATATATAGTTCTTGATTTTAAATTAATGTGTTTATTCCCTAATGTAGATCTAGATTGTGTATGTGGGCATTAGCTGTTTCGAGTGGTTTTCCATGTCTGTCAGTTTTTCTTGGTTAAATGTCAAGGTGCAGTAGTTCATCTGCAACTTTAAATTGCTCTTTGTAGTTAATATAGGTTAGAGCAGCTTTAAATATTTTTGTATATATACATTTTTTCCAGGTAAGTACTACTACTGGTTCAGGAATGATTTTCCTAAACAGAAAAGTCAGTATTTTATTTACTGGTCTGAAATTTGAAAAACTGAATTTCATATTAAAAAAACCCACCCTCTCTTCAGTTTAGTAGAGAACATATTTAAAAATTCGGCAGCTAAGTTCTTTTTGCGTTTTTACCTAGGTATCAATAAATCTTGTATGTTTGCAATCCTTATTTTTTTTCTTTCTGTCCTCGACTATCCCCAAAGGAATAACCTCCACCCCTTCTCCCCTCATTCAGACATGTTAAAATAATTTGTATGAAACAAATTAGTTTAACATTTTAGAAAACAATTTCTTCTTCTTCTTTTTTTTTTTTTTTTTTTTTTTTTTTTTTTTTTTTTTTTTTTTTTTTTTTTTTTTTTTTTTTTTTTTTTTTTTTTTTTTTTTTTTTTTTTTTTTTTTTTTTTTTTTTTTTTTTTTTTTTTTTTTTTTTTTTTTTTTTTTTTTTGTAAGTTTTGTCAATACAAGTAGGGAAGTTTTAAATGATTAATTGGTGTTCTAGTCAATTGACAGTGAAACTGGCAAAGCTTAAATTTCAGTTGTGTTCTTAAAATATGTTCCTTTGTGTTCATTCATCTTAACGAGGAAATAAGAGTAGCTTTCAGAATGACATAAGGTATTTATTGTATTCATCTAGGTACTTAATAGAGTATATACCGGTATCATTTCTGATCTGCAACCTCAGAGCATCGCATTCATAGTACACATGCATGATAGGAATGCATGCTATCTGAAATAACAGCTCTAAGCCCTGCAAAAATGAATTCTCAAAATAAAACTCTCTAGAATAGTCTACTTGATCACACAGTTATTGTTTCCAGAGAACTAGATGTTTGTTTATAATTATTTTGCTGCTGGTTTTAATTTTCTTTTTATTTTGTTGTGGTACCTGTCATTAAGGACCTGTTTTTCTTGAATCATTTAATTTGAAATCTTTTGCTAATGAAATTTCTGCATTTGGAAGTTTGTGCTTTATAAAACATTTTCAGAATATTGCCTGTATTGATGGAAGGTGCAAAGGTGAAAAGATCTGTCAGCTTTCGAAAAGTTACTGCAAACTTGCTGTGAATTGCTAGCATGTATTTACAAACTTGAGTCTTAAAGATTACCACTACAATCATCACTTCCACCATTCAAACAATGTCATGTTGTGCAAGTCATAATACATTACAGCAAATAAAACAATGGGAGATGCTTCTGAAGAGCTGTGAATTTTAAGTATCTTTTATAGCTATGTTTAATGTGCTTATTTAACTGTTTCCCCCCCGCCCCCCCAACATTTTTATTTTTTTTTTTTCGGAACTATCTCAGTGATATTCTTACATACTTAAATGTTTGTGCCCTTAAAAGATTGAGCGAGATTAATTATAGTAGAGAATATGGGGATGCAATCTGTTCCTCTACGGCTCAGTTTTCATAGTATAGTAGATAATTGCCGAATTTTGTTTTAGTTGTGGGTGACGCACAGTGAACATATGAGCGTATAGGATGTATACCATTGCGAAGAAAAATGAAGAACCTTTGCGTCAAGTGGCCAATGCATTTTTGACTGTTCGTTTACACTTCGAATCTTTGGGAAAGCTGTCTTCAGGCATCTTTTATGTGGTGTATCCGAGATGTGTCAGGTTAAGATACTTTGTTCGTCTGGGAACCGCTTATGAGGAAGGTTTTTCTTGTCTCTATAGATCTGTTGAAAGAACACTCAAAAAGGTGGTGGAGGAAGCTGGCTGAATTTCCTAAATTAAACTCATTAGGTAGGGAGAGACAGATTTAGAGCTGAAGAAACCTCCTGTGCTGTAACTAATGCGTAGGGGTCCTGAGCTGTGCTGGGCCCGGGCCCACAGGTGTGGAGCATCCTGGGCCGGCTCTGTCGCTTCCCTGCTGCTGTGGCCAGGGATGTGGGAGCAGGTCCTGCTGCTGTGTTGCTGGATTGATCTGTCACCCTTTTCTCGACTCTGTGTCTTTTAATACTGACTTGTAGCAACTACTGTATCTTTCTTGTTGTATCATGTTCCCCAGAAGTTGTGATTTGAACAAAATGGCACCCGATTGGTTTGGATGAGTCTGGAATGTTATGATTGCTTTAATGTAACTTAAACGCGAGCGGCTGCTAAAAGGCTATTACTCTTTTCCCCGCTTCCCCACATGTGGTACACTCCCATTTCCTCTTCTGTGCACATCCAGCTGCACAGTGAGCTAGATCACAGACCTGATTTGGTTAAAACGAACGTGATTTCTGGAACATGAGGTTAGGGATTGGGGAAACCATTCCTTTTAGTAGCAACCTGTGTAAAATGATCTTAAGATTTCAACCTGAGTCTCTCAAAGACTTGTATGTCCTAGTCTGTGGCTGAAACTGGATCTGTATTTTAAAACCAGGTAATGTGTACTGCCAAATTACTTAAATATCAAAAATAACTCGATGAATTACATATTTACCTGTGTGCATTATTAATCATGTATACACGATGTCTTAAAAATATGGGTTTTGTTACAGTTTGGTGATATTGAAATAGGATTTTATGAGGGGGGAGGGGAAGGAAAAAACAATGCAACATGGGAAGAGAACAATGAACCCATGCCAGGAGCCCATCCTTTCCCATTGCTTAGGAAAGAGAATGGGCAGAGGCAAGTGGTGCACGCAGTGTTTTGGTGTCTGCAGCACACTGCCAGCTCCTCTTCGCTGGAGGTCGGCTGGGAAAGGCTGTAACAAATGTGCAGCGTAATTGATCTGCCCATGCATAGTAAATCCGTGAGCATTGTAGTACGGTCAACTATGTTAATCTGCCCATGCAAAATAAATCTGAGAAGCATTGTGCAATGGTCAACTGTGCTACACATTTACCATAATTCTGTTCACATGGGTGCCTTTCCTTGCTACTGAAATTAACAGTGTAGTCCATGAGCTGGGAGATTTGGATGCTGGTGGAATAGAACTTCTCTTCAGTGTTTTATGACTTTAAAGAGCTTAATTTGTAAATTATTGCTATGTACAAATGTCAAGTAAAGAATAATGGTTTCTGGAGTTCACAGATCTTCTCAGCTTTGGGTCTTCTGTACATTGAGATTGGTTAATTTGTATTTAAAATTTTTGCTGACATAACTGTCCTGTTTAGAAGTGTGAAAGGAATTGCAACCCAGCCCCCTGGTAGCTGATAGTTGGTTAAAATACCGGAATAAAAAGTCCTTCTGCTGGTAACTTTTACTTTGTTTAGGAAAATGTTTTAACTTATACCAGTAACAAAACTCCTGCTAATATAAACTGTTTGTCAGGCTGAAGAGTTTCTCTAATGTAAATGTAACTAAGTCCTCAGTGTTCTTTCCGAGCTCTCATTAGCTCTCTCCGGCAGATTTAACCAGAGTGGCTAAAGCAAAGGTCTCTAGCTGTCCGCTCGGCCTCTGTGGTAGAAGTAGCTGTCCCTAGAGCTGGGATGGCTGAGTGGAATCAGCAGAAGTCCACAGTCTGCCATATCAATGTAAACTGGTATCAGCAACAATTTACATGAACACACTAGGCAGTAAGTTGTCACTACAGAGGAGAAGATCTACATCCTACTTGGCTGTTGTGCTCTGGTGATGTTAATGGACAACTCTGATACCTGCTTCAGGCACCATAACCTCATTTGTCTATCATTTTGAATTTGGGCTTGCTTCAACATCATATATTTTCTTTTATCTTTCATCTACGATAGTCAGATCTCAAAAAATGGTGTGTAACTCAATATTCATTCTAGTTCTTTTTTCCTCTCCCTTCCACCTTCCTTCCCCAAACTGACCTAACTAGCCAAATTCATCGAGTTATTTTCTTGAATGGCATCACCATAAGAAAGCAGAATATCAGCAAGTCAGATATAGTTTGCCATCTATTTAGTCATTTAATCCTGCCTGGAGTGAATTAAAACTGTCTATGTAAGACTGAATGGTTGAATGATAGTAACAACTCTGTTCTGTTTACTATTTATTATAGTTAATAATTGGTGGAATTGTATTGCCTATAAATTATAAATACTCAGTTTTCTGTTATATAGTCTAGTTTCAAGATCTTTGAAATTATTTATTTAATAGTTTTAAAAATTGCATGTTACCTTCTGATTTTGCAAGCTGTTGTGTGTTGCTAAATCTGTTACTTCAGCTACTCTGTTCACTGATGCTGGTGAGTGTTTAAATGTTAGCAGGCATCTGTCCACACAGTTTATAGAGGCCTTAGATTAGGAGCTACAAGGAACAGAATTCCTGTTTGTCTGTCATGCCCAATTTATACATACAGAGACATAATCTTCAGTACATATTACAAGACTTTTATTAGTATGAAAATGTTGCCATGTAACCTTTGTAATTGGTAACATGCAGCATACACATGTACTTGGATTGTTTTTCTCCATGTTTTGGTCAGTGTATACTCTGGCAAACAGCAGACCTTTCATTTCATCAGAAATTTTAATATAGTTGTATTTGACAGTGTTATGTTGAACTTCTGTACATTAAGTTAGGCATGGGAATAATATAATCTATAACTATTCTAATTCACCTTTTTGAATCCTGCAGTTTGGCTGAAGAGGAAATAAAGGCAGAGCAGGAGGTGGTGGAGGGGATGGATATCTCCACTCGATCCAAAGGTGAGTAAGAAGGAATATTTCATCTGTGGTCTACAACATACAAATATTTGTAAATCAGGATAGTGAAACTGTGTAATCTACCATGAAGCTGCTCTCGAGTGAAGACTCAAGACTCATTGTATTTTTTACGATGACTATTGTATGTTAGAAAGTGTTTTAATTTTTGCTTGGTTTTCATTATATGTCAAACCTCCCCACGCACACACTCCATTGTTATTTCTGGTTTATGAATAACTAAGGTTAAATGATGGAAAAACATCAGCCACTTGTATCATCTCGCTTATCATGGCTTCCTTTAAAGTACTTTTTGATTTGCAATGTAGAATATAGTAGTAGTAGTAGTAATAATAAGGTAGTATTTCCTACAGTAATGAATCCTCATTTTCCTAAGAATAAGGAAGAACAGTGACACTTCTGTTTCCACAAAAATTCATCCCCTGAGCAGTATGTATTTCATGGGCATTTACATATCTATCCCTGACATGAATTAAACTCGGTGGTGGAAATGCAGGTGACTGAGAATTTCTGTCCTTCTGGTTTGTGGAGTTTTCCCTACGAATGAGTTATTACAGGCAAATGATGTTATCTCTTGGTATAAAGAAAGCCAAATATGTAACCTTCTATATCAGTGTAAATATTCCCACTGTCGTTTGGAGTGGGCGGACAGAAATGCCCTTCACTCAGAACACTTGCACATAGTTGTTTACTCCAGTTCATTGTAATCGACCGCCAGCTGCCTGGCCATCTCCTTTTGTGCTTGCAGCTGACTTTGCAGTTCAGTTTACTTGAAAGCCATTTCTGTAAAATGGCAGCAGTGGTTACTACCATCCGTTTTAAATTCTGGCACATACCCACTTACTCTTCACGTTCCTTCTACAGGGGTCAGCTCTGAATGTGCAGATGTAATTGGCTTGAAAGCATGGCACAGATCATCTGCATTCCTTTGGTTTTTGATGAGGTAGCTTGGGTAGATAACACGGTTATAAAATTGCATTTAGGTCTTATTTGTAAGTTTCTTGTTTCGGTTATCATGGTATGGTTAGATGAGCTAGTACCTATGATCCGACAGCTCAGAAGAGTTTCGTTTGCTCCTTTTGCTTCTTCTCCCGGTCCTTTTCTCCCTTCTCTGCTTCTGGTCTTGCATGCCAGTCTCCATCACTGGACTGCTTTCGATGTTTACTTATCTCTGTATTTCAGTTGCCTAAGCCAGCAGAAAGTAAACTATTTTTTGTTGCTTTAATGATTGCTGCTGAAAGGGGTAAGCTCCCAGCTTTGTACTCGCCCCGCTTACTTCCTTTGTGGTGCTTGTCAGATCCCAGCCACTTGAACTTTCTAACCAACTTAAAAACTGAAACATTTTTCTGCCATTTTAGCGACCAGTTGGTTTGTGAAAGAGTTTTGTGAGTACGAGAACTCGATGTAAGAGACAAAGGGGGTTATTAGATGTATTTAGGTGCCCATGAAATCTCGCCTTCATTTCTCCTTGGAAAGACTTTGGCCCACATATTAGTACTAATAAGAATTTCACATGCATCAAGTGAGCTAAACTATTACTGGTGTCACTGACATAATCAGTGTCTAAAAGTCATTTATGGGTCTGATACCTGTTTATGTCAATGTCTGCACTTCAGTGCTGTTGCTTTACTCAGCCCAGAAACAGGTGTATGGTCCATACAAAAAGCTGCAATTCCCTTACATTAGGTCAAGTGCTGGTCTGACCGCAGGGTGTACTGTTTCAATGAATTAAACCCACAGGAAACTTCTTACTTTTTTTTTTTGTGGGGTTAAGATGAAGTTTCCCAGGACAGTGAGCTGATTTAATACCTCATGGTTATTGAAAGGGTCAGTCTTTCATCTTCCAGCCTTCTCAGCCATGTGATACTGCAGCTCCCCTTGCTCTGTGGGCTCTGATCAGTTCAAATTGGTCAATTGAAAGGGAGCTAACCTGGCAGAAAGACCCCTGTTTTTAAGTTTACTGTTGATACAAGTCCCTGAACCAGCTCATAGGCAAGCTCTGGTAGGGATCAAAAGGAGAGTGGTTTGGAAGACCAAGACCAGATCACCACAGTGCTAGTTTAGGCTGGGCCAAGCTGTCATCGTGTGGAAGTCACTGGTCTGTGCACAGTAGGACTCTCGGTGTTTTAAACACCAGTGAGAGTGATCTGAACGGCCTTCGTACATCACCATAGTAAAGATAAAACTTAACAGAGGTTGAGTTAATTGAATAATAATAATGGAATTGATATCTATTTAACTACTCATTTGCTTTGATTGGTTTGTTAAATTTGACGTGTATGTTGATGAAACCCATGCCAGCACCATTCTAAGGGCAAGAATAACAACCACCCACCCCAAGCCCTTACAGCGATTTATTTTTTTCGGTGAAGAAGTCATGTGGGTTGTAAGGAAATCTTGAGACGTGCCTATAAACCATCTTGCTTTGTTGTATTCCCAACCTAATCCATGAATTAGTGGTAGAACTTTATACTAGTTGAATATGTAGTTTTGCATAGAAAGTAAAAGGATCATAAATGTCATCTGCTTAGTACAAGAGCTGGCCGTGTTGTAGGCCTGCTAAAATTAATCTTTCTGGACTTATGTTATTTGGATTGAGACAAGTTTCTCTGTTAGTTCAGCGCAGTGTTTCTGCAGCAGAAAAGTCAAACCAGAATTTTAAACCTGTTGTTTTACTCTTTGTAAGGTAGAAAAAGTGCAGCAAGGTTCTAAGTTGGTGGGATAGTGGTAACAATGTTTCCTCTTGTAACATTAATCTTGTTCAGAATTTTGCTCTGTGTGTTTTAGAAAGGGTGTAGATGAGGAAATTGACCCTATATAGACAAACCCTTAAAGGAAGCATACAGCTGCTCTTGGTTTGTTTGGGTTTTTGATGGTCTGAGAAGCCTGTGCAGATCAATCGGTGGTATTGTATACCTTCACACTTGTCCTGGAGAAGCTGATATGCTGCAAGTTTGCAACCTGACTCACTCTGCTACAGTTTGTGCAGCCTATGTCAGGTCGTGTCTAAAGAAAGTTGTAAGAAAATAAGTTAAATTGCTTTAAAACCAATTAGCCTGATGCAGACCTCTTCATGAACATTCTTGTTTTGGTATTAGCAGTTTAATTTTAATTGCTATAAATCTATTCCAGTTCAGTTTAAGCTAAGCTGGAACATGCATTGTTTAATCTGTAACAAGGGTGTTAACATAGCCTTTGAATCGGTTTAAGTAAGGTGGCGGTTTCAAAGCAGCTTACGCCGGTCGAACTGCTTGATGCAGCAGTTTTATCCACTTCCTTCCATACCTAAGCTGGCAGAAAACTAACTGAACCGTAAAGCATGAACGGTTTTCTACTGGCTTAGCGTGCTGAAATGGCTTGGTAGACTGCCAGAACTGGTGTAAGAGAGAGGGCAGGGATACACCAGCTGGGTGCAGGAAGTACAGAGCGTCGGTAGCCAGCATTTAGATAGGGTCAGGCTGTAATGAAACTAGGGCTTAAAGCCATAGCTGACCCTTCTTACTTAGGCTGTATAATGTGATATGTAAGAGTGAGTCCATAGCTGTGGTCAGAGCTATGCAGCCCTACGTGCTTATCTTCAGCTGCTTTTTTCTACCCTTCTCCTTAGGCTGGCACTGATGCTTATGCTGTTGCATAGTAAGCTATATCAAGCAGCTGATCTAGCTGAAAATTCATCATTTTTTTATAGTATTAGTTTTTGCCTGAATCATGAACTGATTAACCCTACTACTGTTACACACAAGTGCCTGTCTGCAAAAAGCTGTAGGGACAGCCTTCTGGTGAGGTAGGGAAGGGAAGAGGAGAAGAGTTACTGTAGCAGTGGTAATTTAGATCTGCTTATAAGCTGTGCATGTGCAGCTTTACTAAAGACGAGGTTTTAAAATACACCACTCTCTTGATCAGAACAAGAAGGCTTAAGGCATCTGAGAACTGGAAATGGGAAATGACAGTTTAAAGACAATAAAAGGAGTCCAAAAACACAAAATGGAGTCAGCAGAGGATTGCTGTTTAGCCAAGGAGAAAGGCCGTGGATTAGGTTATTATAATATTTTGTCCTCTGCGTATGATACTTTAACATGTCTGACAGAAACATCTTGCTATGTTTCTGTTCCAGCCCTATGGCCTACTTTTTAACCTTGTTTATTAATTGTTTCGAGATGGGACTTGCAAGGCTTTCTGGTGAATTTTCTGTGCATTTCCAGGTTGTGGTTCCAGAGCAGCATAACCAACTTAATTGTTTGGAGCAGTTCTGTCTTGACTTGCACTTGTTCTGTTTGGACAGCAGTGAGCTCTCCACTGCGCTCTTTCATCCTACTAACCTGGAAGAATTTTTTTTTTACTTCTCAGGTTAGTTTTCTGCTAGTTTATCTTACTTACCTGCCAACAGTAGTTAGCTGTGGTGGTGGATGGACTTCCATGGAGGTTTCATATGTTTTAGCTGTACTGTAACCATTGCCTGTCCAGTGACTAGTCAAAAGCAGCTCTTTAATTCTCGTCTTCCCATCACTGCTAATACATCCCTTATATTTCCTTTGCATCTATTCTGGCTCTGAGCCAGTCCTCTTCTGAGTCAGTTAAGGACTGGGGTATAGAAGTTGTTTTCTGCCTGCTTATCTCCCTGAACCAGATTACTAGGGAGCTGGGCGGATGTCATTGCTAGGAGCAAACTTGCTCCCCCTCGGTGACAGGTAGTCGTTAGATGCTCTTAGCTTGCCATAAAATCATATACTGAGACACTACTGCTAAATGGTGAGCATTCTGGCTTTTACAGTTTTTGCATTGCTGTAGGTTTGTGTTGAAGGCTTTGGTCTTAGGGGCTTCTCTCAGTAGTAAAAGGTTCAGATATTTTGAATATAAATGCAAAATCACTAGTAAAATGGAATTTCCAGAATACATTATATATTTTGTAACAGTTTCATAATAGTACATTGTGTATCAACTTTCTGCGCAGTGATACCAAGTATTTAATCACATAGAGATGAGAT